GGGATTTGATGGTCCTTGAATCACCTCCAAAATGCCAACAACCTTTCAAATGTACAGCACCTATTTTAATAGTTCATATTGTTTGGGCTTCACATTGCTAATGAAGCTTTTAAAGAGTGATTGCCCAGAAGGGCAAAAAGCACGAAGCATAATAAAATGTATGTCTGTGATGTTTTCATGTCAGTTTGGCAGACACAGACATAGACTTTTCCATGCTTCTCCTGAAAGGTGAAGATTTCTTAATCTGTTGTGTGTGCGTGGTTTACCATCAGTGGAATTTCTCTCCCACTCCATCTTAATTTTGAATTTCTCTTCAGAAGAAAATAAAGGAGTAAGAGGATAAGGCAAAAATCTCTTACTATGTATTCTCCCAGCTGCTGCGCCAGAAATGAGCTATTTCATTTTTGGGATAATAGCTGGAAATTGTCTAGCTATTAATTTATAAGAATTATATGGCTAGATGGCACACCTATAGTTTAGGTCCTGTAGGTGCTGTTCTAGTAGGATTTAGGCACTTGGCGGAATACGAGGTTATTCTGCTGAATGTTCTAACCTGGCTAAGAGGCAGAACATGTTTCCATATGCACAGAATCTTTGTTTTGATACCTGATATTTCTACCATAGAAAAAACGGATAAGTAATTGATGAGGAAGATGTTTTCTTTCATTCCTACATGGAGAGGTTTTGTACACGTGAGAGGGAGTCAGAGAAAGGGCTACAGAGAATCCTCTGACCTGCTATGAAAGAACTCCTCATACTTCGTGTGAAAGGCATCTTTTTAATGGCTTATCAAAGAGCAATTAAACAAGGTTGGAGACAATGGTGATCCAGGCCCCCAAGTCAAGAAGGATCCAAAAGTGGCTTAGAAAATATTAATATCAATGGTAAAACAGGCTTGCAGGGTAATCAATGGCTTTCAGATGATTACATTGGTTTTGTTTTGCTTTGAAATGTGTCCTCTAATGAATGAATGACAGGTTGGCCTAGATATGTTTAGGACACACCAAGTGAAATCACAGCCAAATTAGCCATCTCTAATTTAAGTCACTAATGACTTCTGTGTACCACTATTATTTCTTCTTGTTTTAGCATTATGTATGAGCTGGAAGAGAAACTGACTGGATTCATACATATTCCACCTAGTCATAAGCCATGATTTACAATCCATAATGCTTAGGTTCTCACAGTGCTAAGCCACAATTAGACCTTAGTGTGTTATGTGAACCTAACGAGTCTCTAGCTTTCTTAAGGTACATCAGAAAATCATCTTGTTGATTTGAACTCAATTGCCTCTGTTTCAGGGATAGAACTTAAGTCTCTCCTTCCATGTTAACTGTGAATTCATTAGTGGAAGGCTGGTATAGTAGCTAAGAGTGTGAAGTAGGAAAATCACAGTTTACCACTATAAACCTAATGCCATGATTTAGATTTGGAATAAATCTCACTGGAAGCCCAATAGCAGCACTGGCACTTGCTTCCAAGCCCAAATCATGTGGCAGTCAGAGATTTATACAGTAGCTTTAAGCAAGCTACTGTGAAATCTTTACATTAAATCCATTTCTACACTAAGAGGATAATTTGAGGACCATGCCTATCACAACTATTGTAAATAATATGAAGATATACGTGCATCATGCTTGAAAATGCCCTTTAGAAAATCTGTTGCTCTATGAAAAATGACTATGCATGGAGTTTCACTTACAGTTTACAGTGACCTTCACCCTCCGAATGTCGGGTGCAGCAACATCATTAACAGCTGTGCATTCATATTCCCCAGATTGTTCTCTCGTGATCCCTGTGATTTCCAAGTACTCATCATCACTTATAAACCCCTGACCTAGAAAAGAGGGGGGAAAAATACATAGAAGATAAAAATATTGCTTCTAGTCCAGATCTCCTCCACTTTTGCAGTCAGAACTATGCACTTCTAGGCAGAGCCAACTGTCCATCATTTCTGGGTGCAGAAAATGGCATTTTACCAAAGTTGTTCATGGGGATGATAAATTATTCAGCAGGTTCTCTGGAACAGGAAGGAGAGATATTTGCTTGCTTTCCTTTTTTCCTTCTCTTCTTGGCAAATGGCCCATTATTTTATATCCTCCTCTGCTAGGATGATGATGATATGGAAGGAAAGTATGTAAGTCCTGAACATATTTGCAAAAAAAGTGTCATAAAATATTCTTTTATGGAAAAAATAAAAATTCAGACATTTTCCAGGGGAAAAAGAAAAAGGTGTCATTTGAGAAAGTCAGCAAGTATAGGATACTTGAGATTTTTGGAAAATTTGACAGGTAACATTGGGAATAGATTTGGGGCCTCAACCAAACTTTCTGTTGCTATTTTTGGTTAGTCAAATACTCTTTGCAGGATTATTTCTTCTTTAAAGAAATATGCACATATTCAACAATCTGGTACTGTTTAACGTGTGTTAATACTGAAGAATTCATCAACAAAGGTGGATACTCATTGAGAGAAAGAAAAGGATCATTCAAATATTTTATTTTTGTTTTCTTGCTATAACACCATGCTGGAATTAAAATTTCTTAAAAAAACAACAACAACCACGATCTTAATTTTCACTGCAGCCAAAGGAAACTGCCCTTGCTGATTAAAAACCAAATGACCAAAACAGCAGCAACCCTGTGAATATTCTGCTGGTTCAAATGGTTAAAATTCACAACTTAAGGTGTTATTTCTGAAAATGAAACAGGTTGGCTTATCCTGAATGACAGTCAATGGAAACGATGCACCTATGAGACACTTGATTTTTTGTTGTTTTTCTACTGCAAGAAAACAACAGTGCTAACATTTCATATGACTGGTAACTAAATACCTAGGAAACTACAATATCTAGATTCACAAGCTTAATAAATTGAGCCTGCAATCCTGTGTTCTCTGATTTTAGCCCCAGGGTGACAGGATGGATTAAATTCTCCCTCCAAGATTGGAGACAGAGTTCCAGTCTTGGGCAAAATACAATGATGCAGATATGTTTTCCTGTTCCTTAGAGATCCTCTGAGGCTGTAGCTGTTGGACCCATCATCCAACAAATTGTTCTTTCATGATGGAGAATAGAGGAAGGATCACCTGGTGTCCTACTTTCCATCTCTATTCTACTGCCATTTGGAATATAAAAAGGCTAAGGCTGGATGTAAATTTTTGACTGTTATCTACATCTATCTCCTTGTTTTGGCTACCTTTCAGAAGTGTGCACAGAGTATGGTACAAAAAAAAAAAATCAAGATGGTGACCACTGTCCTGTTTCAGGTTTCAAACTCACACACACTTGCTAAGTGAGGAAGGAAATTTATTCAAGGCTGAGCAGTTAACAATAGACAAGAGAAGAAATGTAAAGCAACAAAGTCTCTTGGAAAGAAAGCTTGCCTGAGTGGTTTCAACTTTCAACAGGAGCACACAGAAGAACAGTCAAAATCCAGTCCAAAGTTCAGAGAGCCAAGTCAGGTTTGCAGCCACTCCAGGGTCAGAGTTTCACAAGCAAAATTCTCAGGAACAACCCACCAAAGCAGGAGATCAGACAGTTGTTTCCAACAGATTGACACAGGTCAGGGCTACCTCTTATATCAGGCTGCAGCCTACTGTCTTTGATCAAGAGAGCTCCTCCCTTGCTTGGCAAGGAGCCTCACTGAGGTCTTTGCTCTGCTCTCTGCTCTACTCTCTGAGTAGGAGGGCTTGGAGGCCGTGGATCATCACCTGACTGCTCCAGCTGTTCAAGTGGTGCCTGAGTTTGATCAGCCTCAGGTGACTCCTGGCTTGGTGTCTCTCGAGGCTGACATTCTACAGGTTCAGCTGCAGCAGCTTCGTCAGAGTCAATCTGAGTCCTGGGCCATGACAGCCAAAACCTGTGCAATGCATCTAAAAAAAGCTTCAATCATACCACTGCCACCACCATCTTGACTTTTTTGACCACCCCTTGTGCATACCCCTGCTGCCATTTGCCCCATTTTGCCAGTTAACTATTTTTTTTTTTCATTTTATGCTGGCTGATTTTTAACCAATAAACATCAAGCTGTATACATTTTTTGCTAGCTATATTGAGTGAGGATTGTGTGTGGATATAGGAATTACTGTGAGTGTACTGGGTGCAAACTGGGATTTACCCATAGTAATTTTCTAACAGCAGCTTCCTGATCTGAGATTCCTTTTAAAGAAAGCAAGATAGAGACTGGCGTTCAGAACTTGCCTCATGAGATTCAAGCCCTTACAAGCTCTTTAACCGGTCTGTTATAGGTACCTGTGAATTGGAGTTTCACACTGAGAGAGTCAGCAGATGGATTTGCAATTTTTTTAAAAAAAATATATTCTCAAAGTGTCCTTTTGCAATAGATAAGCTTTGCCTGGAAATAAGCCCTGAATAGCTAAGCTAAACAAGAAATCAAAGTTTTTTAGCTTTTGCTTTCTTTTCTTCGCTGATCTCTGAACATCTCCCTGCAATGTGACCTTAAATCTCTGTGGGTGCTCATGCTGTACCTGGTTAACACTGGTTAACCAGCCAATTTGCAGCTCTCAGACCCCAGGAAAATGCAGGAACGCTTTGCCCATTCTTCTCCAGAGAGGCTGCCGTATTAGGAGGGGAAGACTGACCGCCTGCGGCTCCAGGGTTCGAGAGGCAGGTTGTACAACTTTACTTGACACAATTTCCTGCTGATTCACATCCAGCATCCCACAGAGCTTTTGCCAGTAACAAAAGGATGCTGGACTGTGGCTAACACAAATGTTGCTCAGGTGCTACCAGTCCGAGGTTGCTTTCATGCCACCTGTTTTGAAAAAAGTCTCTGATGTTTGTGCTTGTGTAAAACCTGGAGTTTAACTAATACAGAGGACACGGTTTGTGTTCCAGCTCTTTGCCATTTATCTGCTATTGATAGTAGCTTGGCTGAAACTAGAATGATTCGTGCCATCTGAAACCCACTCTTGCTCTGAAACAGGAGGACCCATTACCCTTAACCCATTACCGATTCATAAAATAAATGCAACAAAACCTTTGAGTCAGGCTCAACTCCTGCTGCTTTCATCCATATCGTTTTATTGGCAACATTATGGAAATGGCTTGCCATTGACTTTGGAAGGTTTGTTTGTTTTTAACGTCCCCATTTAGCCCACAGCCCTGGGATTCTCCACTCTCACATTCTCACATCCGGATATTAACTATGACTGACCTTGTTTAACTTCTGCAGTTGTTTAGTTAGTTGTTTACATAGATTATTAAACCATTTATTGAGATAGGTTTAAAGAATGCTCGACTCCAACCGACTCTGTTAGCCTTACATAATAAAAAGTCAGAACAATAAATAACACATGACCTGCATCCATAAACAACCATATGAAACTGTGATGGAATGGAATTATGAAGGCCGAGCTCAGGGAGATAAGCATTTTCTTAGCTCGCCAGAGGAGCATGGGAGATACAAGAGGATGAGATTGGCACCTCCCTGAGGAATTCACATCAGTCTGGGAAGATTGATGTCAGGCCTAGCCCAAGGAACTCCAAGAGACAATGCAAATTCAGCTCAGCTTTGTTTATTAG